TTCTATCCTCCACTGACAAGTATATATCATACTATCACACCTTCTACAATTTGTCTTCCACAAATGCAACTCTAACTTTATAAATTGTTCAATAGCCTCGTAGAAAGGTGATGAAGTGGTTTGCTTCCTCTAGATCTCATTTCACACATTGTGTGAAACTAATTTAGCTGGCAAAAAAATTATCTGTGCATAAGTGTGGCCATAGGAAAATATTAAGGCTTCAATTTATGGTGCATAGCTGCTGTGAGCATTATTTTCAATGATTTAAATTAACTTGGAGCCTGAATTTCTCTTACTATGGATAAAAGGCACCCCACACAGAAGTTAGTAGATGCTCCAGAAAGGTTAGATTCCTATGCTGGAAGCCTGTGCTAGGGCAGGTTTCTGGGAGGGCCTGTGAACCTGAATAGAGAGGAGCCCATGCTGGAGCAGTTTATGAAGAACTACAGCCCGAGGGAAGGACTCAGGCTGGAGAAGTTCATGGAGGCCTGTCTGCCATGGGAGGGACCCTGTGATGGAGCAGGGGAAGAATGTGAGGAGTACTTCCCCTGAGAGGGAAGGAGGAACAGAGAAAGCATGAGCTGACTGCAGCCCCATTTCCCATCCCTCTGTGCTAAAGGGGTGAAGAGGGAGAGAAAATTGGGAGTGAAGTTGAACTGGGAAGGAGGGAGGAGTAGAAGGAAGGTATTTTTAAGATTTTTGGGGTTTTTTACACTACCCTAATCTGATTTGATTGGCAATAAATAAAACTAATTTCCCCAAGTTGAGTCTGTTATGCCTATGACAGTGTGCTGAGTATTTGATTCCCCTGTCTTTATCTTGACCCAAGAGTCTTTTCATCATATTTTTCTCTCCACTGTCCAGCTGATGAGGGGGAGTAGCAGTGGCTTGGTGGGCACCTGACATTCAACCAGGGTCAGCCCTCCACACTACTGCTCTGATTAAGCAATACACATAAGAGAAGAAAAACTCAACTCATGACAAAATTCTCTGAAATTCTATTTGAGGATATATGTGGCCACTAAATAAATAATAAATTAACAGAATAAAAAGTAAAAGGAAGACTTAGTATAAATAATGAAGTTTGTTCCAATTAATTTTCAAACTGGATGTTAAAAATGCCAACTAATATCATCAGATACTTACAGGTTCTACTCCAGGTCCTGGGGTTTTGGGTGATGAATACTACCTCTGGATATTGTAGCTGGGGCAGCAGCTCTTAAAGGTGTACCTCAAATAGCAGCCACATTTACAAGCAAAGAATATGTGCCTAAGACTCTGTCAGGGTCACAACCTAGGAATCATCAGTAAACTTCTCAGCAAAAGAAAGTCAAGATATGCTGTTTAACAGGAACGTGATCAAGGCAATCTTGTTTATTACAGCCCTACAGAGGATTATCTGCAACACAATGCATACACTATTCCTTAAACAAAATAAACAAACTCTGTTTGAACATGCTTTAGAGATTTTTTACCAGAATCACAGAGGGAGACAAATTCAAAAGGTTTTACTCGATCTAGTATGAATTTGTTAGAGTTTAACTAATGTAAAAGATAGCTAGCGTGCTTTGCTGATGTGAGTTCTCCTGAAAGCAGACAAAAGCAGAGGAGGGGAAAATCTCTCTCAAGGTCAATAGAAATAATCAGAAGATGATTCAGAGCAGGAGTCTAAATTTAGGTGCTCCAAAATGTTTCTTGAAAAAGCCACTTCCTGTTTCTCAGATAAAGTTAGATTATATGGCTCACCCCACCAGGCACCTTGCTGAGTAACCAGAGGATTACTACGGTTGAAGTTTCTAAGACAGGAAAGCATAAAACTCCAATCACTTTCTAATGATTACATTCAGATCTTAGATTTGGATTACATTACATTACAGTATTTCAGAGAGCCACAAAATTTGCTTAGCTGTATAATTAATAAGAAGGAAAGAAGTCCTACTCTGCTTAGACTGACTGATTTAGATTTCATACACTAACCTTCCATCAATGCCTTGTGAAGGCTGACCTAGAACAGAGGCTAGACAGAGTCAAAGAATAAAGTAGGTATTTATTAAAAGGCCTCAATGGACACACCTTGGGCAGTTCAAGAGCCCAGACAGGGCTACACCCAAGATGGACCCAAAATGGTCACAAAATGGTGACTAGTCACAAAGTGTCACGCTTCTATAAGTTCTGGTCCATTAGCATATTGGAATTCACTGTCCAGTTATAACTTTAGGTTATGAAGTCCCATCCTTCTTGCTTTTATCTCTTCATTCCACTGTTGTTTATGCTCTTGGGCCCAAAATTGATTGTCCTTGGTCCCAAGCTAGGAATTGAATTATTTTGTCTAGCTACTCTATGAAGAGAGCTTACCATCCCTTAATGTGAAACTCAGAACCACAGACAAAAGCAGAGCAGAATCTGAAAAATATAACTAAATATAACTAACTTATAGCTAAAACTTAAGGCATCACTAAAGTACAGTGATGCAAGGACTTCAATAATGGAATTTTAAGTCTATTTTACTGAGAGACTTTCCAAATACCAGTTCCAATAATCTCATCATTGATACCTCAAGTTACATCAGCTCACATCTAGGAGGCACAATCAGCATTCCAGTATTCATAGGCTAATTTAAGGCTCTTTTCTGTGCCAAATAGGCAAGACAAAGTGTTAATTAGGTTTTAAATATTACTTAGCAATAGTGAAAAACAAAGAAATTATAAGAATAAAAGAAAAAGGAATGCAACTCTGCAAAGCTGTCTCCAGAAAAATAGAGGAAGAAGAAAATGGGAGAACAGCTAAAGGGAAAGCCATTGTAACCGTGTCTCAATGGCTCACCTTGTTAGCATCCATAACAGTGTTAGGGACTCAGTCTACATAGGATCTATATCCCTATTTAAAACAAACCTTTTTGGCCCCTCATGAGTAACATTGGCTTGTCTTCTTAGAGGAGACAACGGGAGATCTGCAAATCATATTTCAATATAATCTTATCACTTAAATGCTTAAACAACAACATTGTACTGCAATTAAAACTTCAGAAGATGACACATCACTGAAACAAGAAGCTTTTGTAACATCAAACCCATGTTTTCCTCCTTTGCATGTTTATTAGGTGGTTATTTAAATAACAAAAAATTCAGTGAACATTCAATACAGCAAAATGACTGCATTTTATGCAACAATGACTTATTTCTGTTTTGATTACAGGAGAGCTGGCCATTAGTCTGCATGATATAGGAGATATAAGGGAGGTACTGTGGGTCTGGGAAGAAAATAACAGGCTCTTCAAGACAACAGGATCAGAATTGTGCAGGCTAATACTTTCTGTCTACCAGCATCCTGCCCTGCCCTCCAGCCTTTCCAGAACCTCCAGTGCTGTGCACCCATGTCTCGTTGCATCAAAACCTCAGAAAAAAAGGAATAATTCTATCTCTTACATCTTCTCTGAATTCTGGTATAGTCTATTTTGGATGGAGAATGACATCCTAGCAAAAACACGTGTTTCTTGCCATCTTTCCGCTCTCAGATTTCTGGTGTATAAAACCACACAGTTCATCACCTGTCAGAACTTCTGCATTAAGTTAATTAATGGGCATTTCTTTTGTGTTCACATACATGTGATGGAGAACTTTCAGAACCTGAAGGGAAGGAGCAGGGTGAATGTTAGTGACACCATTTTCATATAGTAGGAATTTTTGACTTCTTTCTGAACTGGATCTCTGACCGAATCCCTGCACTCAGCCAAGAGTTTACATTAATTTACTCTTCTCTCTGTGCTAGTTTAGTCCCAAATTTTAATTAAGCCTAAGGATAGGAAAGGAGATTCCCAGTCTGAAATAGCCATATTCTGCACTCAGTTATAATAGAAAATGTTAAATGGAGAAGAACATCTATGTGGCTGCCAACATTTAGTAGCATAAATAGGCAAGCATTATGTATCAGAATTATTTGTCTAGTGTGTTGTCAGGAAATTTCATTATGTCTGTCTAGAAGTCTAATTAAAACATCCTGCTTCTCCTTCCAGAACAAAGTTTTACTTAGTCTATCTGTCAAATTGAATGTTCATTACTCCATGTCATGATTAACTGTCCTTTGGGACATGGAAAAAACACATAAAATGTAGAATTTGCTTGCAACATTTGAGCTTTATATTGCTCATCATGTGGCTGACCGAGTGGCCTCAGCAGTGCGTTATTACCCTGCAGCCTCAGGCAAAGGCAGCATGAAGAACTTTTCATGCAAGAGCTGTGGCAGTTTCTTTACAAGGTGAGATGGAAAACATGCTGCATTGCAAGGAAGATACCTTACCCTCTCCATTCCCTGCAATTCCACCAACAAACACAGAGTGACACACTGCTGGCTGGTCCTCCAGCTGAGCATCCTACCACACAGACATGACACACAGTGAGCACCTCTCCTCTCCTGTTGTAGTTCTTATCACAGAGACATAATTATTTACAAGATTTTTTCTCCCTCCTCATTTTTATTCCTTTTAATAAGAAAAAATAAGCTTGGAATTTCTTGGCAGATTTGCCTCAGCAAAGCTAATGTTGCATCAAACAGCACGGTCTCTCAGAAAATGTTAAGAGAGTTAGTGCAAACGAATTAAAGCAGTTACCTCAGCAAGTGAGAACAAATCCTGCTCTGCCAGACGACCACACAGTCCAGCAGGATTGTGAAAATCCAAGGATACAGAACAGTTATCACAATTTTGCCACTGCATTAGTAGAGTGGATTCTACAATCAGTTGTACAGTTGTAATTCAGAAAAATAGTCAGTCTCCTAAAGTAATACATTTCTTCCAAAGAAATAGTTGTGTGAGTCAGAGAATAGAAATAGCTTGGCTGCTTGTAGATTTCTGTGTTAGTGAAGAGTATTCACTCTGATTTTCTTAAGCCTAACAGGAAAAAGTTAATGATCCTCAGTGCTTGTCTTCTGATTTACCCAGTTAGCAGGAAAAAAAATACTCTGTAGAAGGCTGATTGTAAAGTTCATAATACCCTGAGACATACCTTAATTTTTGTCACCCTTCTGTCAGAATAATGGAACAAGAGAGAAGAGCACAAAATTCTTTATAAATCTTCTGGTCAGTCACATTCAACCAACTTGGTTATTTCCAATATACCCCAATAAGGGTAAGGATGTGCTGCCACATATAGCAGATATGTATGTTCCTTGAAGAAAGGTGGGAATAAATGCACTTTTTATTTGGTCTGTATACTAACCAGTTTCTCTATATTTTACATTTTCACCCTGTCTGTAATTAAAATAAATTAGTGTTTAAATTTAGCTTATGGGCAACTAATTCTTGTGAATATACATGCATGCATACATGAACCTGCATGCATTTAATGTGTATAGCACAATGTGCACTATACCACACACAAAAGCCAGAGCACACAAAAGTCACACGTAGCTATACACATTCCAAATCCACACCTTCTTGTTATTATTATTATCTTCTTATTTATTATTTTTGTTACCTTATTCTTCTTACCTCACTATAAATATCTGACCAACAATGAATTTGCTACCAAATACAAATTCTTCTTACTGTGCACAAACAAACATTTTTGTCACTCTAGATTGTTACTGTACACAGCTTTTCCAAACAGGACACACATTTCTCTATGAACATATTTATCATACTGAAGAACATTACTGCTGAGATGAAATGCCTTTGAAATACTGAGTCATTGAGAGACACTTTATCAATGCTTTAACATACTCAAAAATAATCTTTGTGTCGAATACAACCAACCCATTGATCAAAATACATACACTGATCAAAATAAATACCTTGATCAAAAATCTTAAGTAATTAAAGACAATGAATTCATTTACTTTGAGAATAAAGTTCTCTTCTGGCTGCAAGTACAGCTCCAGGGTAGATTGTTTAACCATCTGCTCAAAGTGTAGGTTCCTCATCCTCAGAACATCCAGAGATGGAAACAGGTCACTGATCACGCCTGTGAAAATTGGGATATCATCTGTCACTATTTTATGCAAATTGAAGTCTCTTAAGACTCAAAAAAACACATGGAAAAGGAGGGTAAACAATGTATCACAAGAACATTAAATAATTTTTTGTAGGAGTCTGTTTTTATTCAAAGGCAAAACACCAGAAATATATTTTACCCAATCCTCAGGTCTGTTCTTGTCTCCTTGTTTCAGGGACACAGAAATTACTAAAACTGACTTCAGTTCCCTGTCATAACAGCCCTACAAAAACAGTTTTACTAGTCATGCTAACACATGAAATAAAACTAAGAGGCAATGTTTATGAAGAAAATAATAATTTTACACACAGAGTAAAACAAGACATTTTTATTCACTTGTAGACTTTCAGTGGCTTTTGGTCAGTATTAAAGGTTGACTAAAATAAATAAAAGGCTAAATTAGATATCTGTATATCTAATTATTTTTCAGTATTCCAGCATATAGTTCCCTATTCTTAACTGCCTATCAGCTGGGCAAAGTTTGAAAATATATTCTGCAGCCACACCTAGGAATCCAATATAAATAAAGCCTATTAGTATTATCAATTCCCCCAACACAAAAAAAGGGAAAAAATAAACAACCCTTCCCCCCTACACAACTTAAAAATATACCAGTTTAAGTTGACAGATGCCATGCCTCTCTCCTCTTCCATGACAGTGGTAACTCTGTAAGTGTGAATTAAATGCACTAAATACAGCACAAGGAATAATTAAAAAAAAAAAGTAATTTCCAAATTCAGGACAGTTCATGATCAGTAAGAAAAAAAATTATGAGGTAATAAAGATTCTTAATATCTATACTGCACTGAAAAGGAGTTTGCACATTTTAGAAATGGTACATCTGGGCAAAGAAGTTAAACAGAGTTGATAATGAAACCAGGGAATTTAGGAATATACTGAGCTTAATAAGATTTTGGTTAGATTTAGGCAAGTTTTTTTGTGTGTGTGTGTTTTGTTTTCTGGGTTTTTTTTCTTTCTTGTGTTTGGTTTTTTTTTTTCCTTTTTTTTTTTTTTTTTTTTTGTTGTTGTTGTTAGCTGTCTGAAAGTGTGTGAAAGAGTGAAAGCTGTTGAAAGGGTGTTAAGATATGCATCTTAAAAGCAGCCTGGTGTGTGGCTTGTCCAGTGTACAAGGACTTCCTTTGCCATGGTATGACACATCCAGAAGTCCCTTCATAACATCTGCCCTGACTGATAACCCTGCTCTGCAGCAGGCTAGGATCCTTTCCATAGGCTAGGATCCTAGTGCCCCAAAGGTACATTTAAAGTTATAAAATTCCCAACACTGGAGCAACACTCTCAGAACTCTTTGAACAGCTATATATTTTATGCAGAAGCCCAAAATTTTTTCTCAGAGGTATTTGATTTATCCCATTTCCATTAAAAGTAAACCAAATGAGAGTTAAGAAGTAAACAAAGAAGAACATTCTAGATTTTACTTCAAACAGTAATGTTAATACTATTATTGCAACTATGATTAATACTGAAGTCGCAAACAATGGCATAAATAACTTCTTTCAATTCAGAACATGCCTCCAGGACAAAGTAATCATTAGACTCAAGGATTCCTAGTTCTAGTGAAGCAAACAATATTAATTATCTTTAGATATGCACACTTTAATTTCATTATCTCTAGAAAACTGCAAGAATGTGTCAGGAAAACTTCAGGATATTTAGACATAATTTCAAAATTATGCAGGCATGGAAATAAAAGTTTTTTATTTCATAAAGGCCCTGCCTGCTATGCGAGTTTATGGCTTAAAACTGAAGGGTTCTTTGAGTTCTAATTCCATTGATAAAAATTAATATTAGGAACATCTTACAAAAATTATACAGATGGAGATTATTAAAACAGGATACATACAGGGAAGAGATCATACAGTTCCTAGGGTTTGCATTTTTAAGATAATATTTCTGAATATGGGTTCTTTCTAGTATAATAATTAAATTATTTAGAAATGCTTTTCCTCCCCATTTTTTTCAAAAGTTGTCGCTGCTTTTACTGTGGAAAGTTTAAAGACATGTTCATTCAATTACAATATGCTATGTATTTTTCAAAATAATTTATACTTTGTTATTATTTTCTCCAAAAGATAGTTATTTACATGGGTGCCACACAATAGCACAATGTAACCAGTCATCCCTGGTATGAAGTGGTGATACACAATTATTTAATGCAAATATAACATGTTACAAACATCCAAAGGTAAGAAGAAAAGATACTTTTTTCCAAATTCATGTCTGACAATTTATTGAGGATGGACATGTGATTTAGAGTGTCTTTAAAATACAAGATAAGACAATATGCATAAATCCCTCCTATTATGCAATATTCAGCTGTACTGGTATGGAATGCTAATGGATATGTATTAAATCCAGAAACTCAAAGAACCCTTGGCTGCTCAGGGAGCAGCTCCCTGCAGAGAGGCTGGAAGATGATGAACTTCCTGGCGAACAGAGAGGCATCAATAAACCCTTCAGCAGCCAACATTATTACAGAGACCAGTTCAATGTCAGGGACAGCCATGGCACAGGTTCTAGGGAAGGAAAAAACCCCATAATCCAAATGCACAGATTAGTATCTAAACATGGTAAGAATAAGTCAGCTAAATCAAATGTCTGATGTGTGCAAACATTTTTAAAAACAGACCTCAAGAGAGTCACAATTAAGAGTGTCAATCAAAGCTTACAAGGACTCTAGCTCAAAGCAAAATGAGCTAATTAGGCACTGGTGATTGTTAATATTCCATAACACTGCTGCACAAAAGAGGCACCTGAGAAACACAGACAGGTACTGCCCAAACTCAGAGCAGGCACAGGCTGCAGCAGTGTCACTTGCCACTGACCACTGGGGGCACAGCCAGCAGCTGTACAGGGTCTGGAAGCCAAGTGAAACACAACCATTGCTAAAAATGTCATCGTTTTTTAAAGCTCTTTGATTTTTTTGGAGAGCTTTAGTGCTTTATATGAAGGCTTGGTTACCTTTAGAGGTTTTCTTTTCTAAATATAACTGCTCAAACTTTCAAAACAAAAAAACAGAAAATTTAATGACATAAATGAAAAAAATGTAATTAAATCTCATTTTTAAAGGAACACAAAGTAATAATGATATTTCTAAACAATTTCACAATTTCCTCATTAAAAATTGTTAGTTAAATTACACACTAGCAAAAACGAGATCTTGAATTTTGGGTTGAAGCCAGCTACAAACCAGCAAATTTGTCCCTCAGAGCTCTTTTTTACTACCAAAAAACCCCAAATATTTCTTCTTCTTCCCCATCCAGAAATATACTGCTGAACTAAATGACCAGTTTTAATTTTGTCATATTTAAGTATTAATGGGGAAGCTGAGGTTCTCGTGTAGTTCTGTCTGACCAGCACATCCAGGGATCATAGTAATAAATATTCCAACTCTGGATTTCAGTGTTATGTTTTCAACAAATACAATACAAATCTGTTAAAAGAAAGATGACACAAAGAAATGTTAAAAGAAAGACATTACTTACAAAAAAAGAAAACTTACTAGACCTCAGCAAGCAGAGGTATTTCACTGGTAAGCATCAGCTTTTAGTAAGCTGTCTGGCATTGAATTCAGAAGGAAAACACTGGACTACTAGAGCCACAGAGAGTGCATGTGGCTGAAGCATGTCTATAGGAAGAATCATATTTTGAAACACAGAATAAAGGAGACTAGTAGAGATGCAGAGGGTTTGAAAAGGCCAGGAGACAATATTAAGTAAAAAAACCCAAAACACCAAAATGGAGAAGGGTGAACATAGAACAGTGGAAAAACCAGGCATGCCTCAAAAGCACTGGAAAGTCCTGGAACCACTGAGACTTCTTGCAAAGTTGAATCCCTCCTAACTTCTCACCCATAGGATACCTTGATCCACATGGTAGCACTTGAACTGGTTTCAATAGCAAAACTTCAATTATAATCTGGTAGGACCAAGATTTATTCACATCTACTCCTGCAGTTTGAAGAGATATTTATTTTTGTGTAGTACATTACACAGATGATTTTGTGTTACCATTTCGTCTTTAATTTACAAATAGTTTCAGAGGAACTTTGGAGGAAGATATTACTGGTTCAGTATTTATAGCCAGCAAAGCACAAAGAAGCACTCCTAGCGCATTCATTTATTTTTCTTCCTAATTTTATCATGGATAGGCTTTATTTGTAATGCCACAACTGACTAGACTTCTATCAAGAGATGACTGAATTCTCCAAAGCAACCTCAAAGATCCTGTCTGTACCAAAACTTTATAGATGTTCCCTACAGACTAAAATTAAAAGACTTAACATCTTTTTCTTGAAAGCATCAGTTTCCAATGTAATTCACATGAAAAAGAAGTTAAACAACAATCTCCATAATGCTTAACAG